TTATTATTATTATTATTATTATTATTATTATTATTATTATTATTATTATTATTATTATTATTATTATTATTATTATTATTATTATTATTATTATTATTATTATTCATAACAAATCTAATGTAAATAATAGAAAAATTGGGTCATAATAACCAAAATTTAGCTAGGATAATTTCAAAAATATTTAATGTGCTTTAAGATTGATGTAATACATGAATAATCGATCATATCATATTTTTTATTGTATTTATTTTAAACTAAATTTATGAAATTTAAATTTAATCAAGACTAATTTTGATGAGAATTTATTATGTTATAAGTAGATATGAAAATTTATTATGTTATAAAAATAAAAATATAGAGATTTACATACATATAATTCAAAATTATACTATTTAGATATTTAACATCTAAAACTTACTGCTTAGGCTTCATTTGGGATGGATTTCTTACAGCTTCTTAAAACGGTTTTTTAGTACAAAAATTAAAAATTTTTGTACTAAAAAGCCGTTTTAAGAAATAGAAAAAAATCATCCCAAACGAAGCCTCAGGGTATGTTTAGTGTGGTTGTAGCTTTCGATAAATGTAGTTGTCTAGTTGTTGTGGGTAAATATTTTTTTTTCGAAAGCTATTGTGCATACTATTTATATTTTTATTTTAAAAAAATCCAAGCATTAGCTTTCTTATATCGACTATGCCATAGCAAATCTGGTTGCAAATAGCTTCTCATCATAAATTTTTTTTAAAGATATTAAGTAAACACTAGCAAACATCAATATAATAGTGATTTGTACTGTAGAGCAGTGAAAAAGTTATCCCAAAATAAGCCTTTGATCTACCACTCTATTAATCTTGTCATAAGCAAAAAAAATGACGAGAACGTAGCAGTGGGGATCTTGCTAGGGAAGGGCATCAACAAGATCAGTGGCATGTAAAGTCCTTCGATGATGAAGAAGAGGAGAAGAAGTCACGATGAGATATAAGATATCTTCGGGGGAACTAGGAATGCCATCAACTTGATTGAAAAAGAAATGCAATATATTTTAAATATTTAAAAGTTGTTTGAATAAGGGTAAACTAAATTCAAGTTATTATTATTTTTGTTTGTTTTGAAATAAAATGAATGTAATGTAAAGTTCAAAAATAGTGATGGTTAGTGGCTGACAATGACGGTGTAGGATGACAATGGAGCTGCGGGGCAGACACTGACGACGACGATGTGTGGTGGCTGTGGTGATCGATGGTGGGTGGTGGTTGTCGGTGGTGGGCGACGGCAGCCGATGGCAATGAAAATGAGTTCGTAGTGTATTTGAAAATTGTCAAAATCAGAGGTATTCAAAATATACCAAATTTAAACTATATAGTTTATTCCAAATTTACCTAAATCTTATAATGCATCATTTTTAATTCAAACAAAACACTAATACTCTCAAAATCTCTACAATTGGAATCATTTACACTCATTTTACTTAAAACTAAACATCCCTATAGTGCAAAAGAAATGTACTATATTTGAAATATTTTATTGTTCTTTAGTTGGGTGTAAAATAAAAGCATAGATTTAATTTTTTTTTGTTTGGTTTAATGTAATATGATTTTATTATTAGGCCCAACAACGATGATTAACGGTGGGCTGCGGTCGGTGTTGGTGCAACTTATTGTTGGAGTGTTCGTTGGAGGTGGCTAGCAATGGCGAGTAGATGCGGTGGCAAGAGATTGCGACAACGGTCGATGATGATTGCGACTTGACTAGTGGCATCTAATTGTGGCAATAGATGACAATGTCAATGACTTGTAGTGTATTTAAAAATTTGTTAAATTTGCTGATTTTAAAATCCATAAAATATGATCTAAGAGAGAGTTTAAAATT